CTCACTTTGGGGATTATTTCGAGGTCCTTGTGCGCTAAAGTTCTCGGAGTTGAAGATTCAAGGAACGAGCTCATGCTGTAAGCTTGGATCCGCCCAAGGTTGGATCATCTGATCGCTAAACAAGCCAAGGCAAGGAGCACGATGTTCGCCCAAAGCAAGAGATTATCCCACCCCATTCTGCTGACAGAAAAGTAAATCGAATCGTCCTACCCATGCTAGTGTTGCATTTTCCCATACATAAGCCAGATGGCCACTGCGTCATGCAGTCTGCATCCCAGCAAGGTCAATTTTCCCGCCCGGTGCGACGCCGCCTTGATAGCTTTGTATGATCCTCAGTGCTTCTTCAGGGATAGGGATGATAGGTGGGACCACTTGGTGACAATGGATGTTCATGTGGGGGATCTAGCAGGAGACCTGGAGCGACCACAGTTAAGAGCTCACTTGGCATTGCAAAACCTAGCCTTTCAGAAGTGTGCCACACAAATGGGTAACCCGAACCTCGGGCGCGCAGATGGGGTGAAACAGTATCATATAGGCACGTCGGAGTAAGCATCGTCGGAGCTGGTTAGTATTTAGAGGAAGCAGCTTGTTGGGGAACAAGCTCATTCTGCACAAACCGTTCAGTGTCTCCCCGACTTCCGCTTGTCACACGCCGTTGGGCGAATGTGCGGCGAGCGTGGGACCCTTCAGCCCGTGCCTGCGGAGGAGAAGAAGAAGAAGAAGATCGAGAGAGGGAGGGAATGGGAGGGAGAAGGAAGGAGGGGCATCACGCATCTTTTAGAAGAATCACCCGGCCTCAACCTTGTCACCAGAATGTGCAGCGACCAATGCCTGACCAAGGTTGAGGCTCATGGAGCAGAGCTCCTGCCTGTGAGGTACCAGGGGGTACCGAAGCCGGACCTCAACCAGGAATGTAGTCAACACTGTCATGCTCGAATGGAATAATTTAGGTGGCCCCTTCAAGTGACGTTCTTCTCTGTCGAGTTGAGGTCCTCGCACTCAGGCAAGAGGCCGCTCTGGGCTTGAAGCTAGAGCTGCTTGACCTGAAGCACAGTCATTCAGAAGATCAGGCTCTACTGCTTCAAGGTACGATTATGCCCTCGCTGCAGACTGCCGATAGTCAGCAGTACACCACAAAGCGTCCGCCCAGCGTCCGCCGCGCTGATGGCAGGCGAATTTGTACTTTTGAACGAGTTTTCGTGCCGAATTTTCCCTTGGCTGTTGAACCACAAACCTAAGTACCACTGTGTAGTGATAGGATTTGGAGGAAGTCATTGGCATGGATCCAAAACCCCTCTTCAGCCGAGGGCTGAGGACGATGAGCCCAAGCTTGCAGCGCGTGACTGGGTTCATGCGAACTGGTTTTGCAGCTCAGCTTCGGCTATCACTGCCCTCACCCTACTCACAGAGCATGCACTTTAGAGAAGAACCCGAACCTAGAGGAACTAATTTAAAGAGGCACTAGCAGGAACATCGCCAGGGTGATGAAGCGGAGTCCATTTAATGGACTTTGGGGCAGTTCTGCCAATCAGCTGTAGCAGTGCCATGGCCGGCGCGAAATGCCCAAGATCTCTTGGTAGGTCAATAGCCTCGACCTCCGATGGGTCAAGCCCACAGAGGAACCAGCGATCTGCTTGGAAAGATTCCTGGCTTTTCGGCTTTTCAATGTGTCTGAGCGCGCAGATAAAATCGATGGAGCACTGGAGCACCCTTTCAGGTGCTCAAAGTCTTCTGTTGGGAGGGTGAACCACTCTAGATTCAGCCTTTCTGGCCATACTGGAGACAGAAGCTCAAAAGGTGAAGGGCGAGGACGAAGAAGAAGCAACAAGACGAAGAAGCAACAAGACAAAGAGAGGAGCCGAAAGTTTGCCTTTTCTGAGTTATCCCCCCCCCCCCCCGCGCTCGCAGCTGCTAGCCACAGCTGGCCCCTTCCCACCATCATCTGGCCCAAGAGCCAAAGAGCCAAGAGTGTGCTCCGAGCCTTTGAATCTCCTGGGCCAGGGACCTTCGCTATCTTCCTCAACCCCATCTGGAGCAGTGTGCGCCCCAGTCTGTGCTCCGGATCAACTGCGTAAGTCAAAGAGAGACAAGAGAATCTCAACAGGTCAAAGCCATGCGAAAGCCGTGCGAAAGCCATGCGAAGCCTTCTGTCAGCCAGGTCATAGCCGGGGTGGGTTTTTCTTACTTAGTGTTGAGCTCTAAGGCAGCAAGCCCTCGCGTTCAAACTGCCTTGGCCGGGGCGCCAGCGTTGCCACTTCACATCTTTTGGCATCCCCAGCATTCTTGGTATCATCGTCATCGTGCTGGTTTCAGACACTGTTCGGATAGCTCGCTTTCGGGTTCAATCGCAGTTCGCCTCATGTGTAGCCTCTTTAATGTTTGCCGCTTGCTCATGTTGCTACGTCGTAGATTCACTTGCAAGCCCACGGCCCACGGTTGGGAATGGGATATATCGTCCTACGGGGGGTAGGTTTATCTCACGTCGCGTGTTCGTTTAGTACGTCGCGTAGCGTCTACTTGCAGAAACCAGGTTCATGCTAGCATGTATGTTTGTACTCACAGCATCATGCACAATTAGCTGTTTCGCCAGCGTCTACTTTCCAATTTGCTGTTTCCATGGTGAAACCATCAGAACAAGCAAACGGTTCTCCATCCAGTCTAGAACACCTTTTTGTGAGTCTACCTTTTCTTTGACACAACCGTTTCGGTCACACTGTTTGGTCCAGCGCAGATTCACATACCCACGAAATCCACAGACGCCACCAGCAACCTGAGCAGCTGCTTCGCTCATCGGTAGCTAGGGGTCTTGAGTTCAGTATGTTCATGAAGGAGAATACCGTGCCCAGCATCGTGAAACTGCAGGCTCTCTCACTAGCCTGATCCACGAAGGGCCTTTAAAACGATAACTAACAAGTTGTCGGAACCCGGGCTGCTCTATGGCCCTACATAGTTCACGGTGGCTACTTGGGGATACCTGCCTGAAATGGCAGTATAGTTGCATGAAAACCGTGTGAATACCAGCGCGTCGGCCGCATATGCCAGGTTTCTGCATGTTCTACATGGCAACATGGCTACTTCAAATTGGGGATTCGTATTCCTTGATGCATATCTGCATGAGTGATGCATATTTTCAGCGATGCAGCGTCTACTTGGGGCGATGCACATTCACTCTGCCAGCTAGTGCCCGTCAGCAAACGAGGTGTGATGCTACTTCGAGAAACTTTCAGCATGTCCGTTGTACACATTGCATATCTTGGATGTCTGGACGCGGCAGCAGTCTTCGAGGTTGCCACTTATGAACAGCTCCGAATCGCCGCCGCTGGACAGGCCTTCGACATGCAAGCCAAACCTTCAACAGTGAGATACAGTAAAGCAGAGCACAAAACAGCACAGAGTAGTTTCGACAGCCTGCATCGCTGCATCCTAGCTTCAGGGATATCCAAGGAAGTCAATTGATCTGCCTGGCCCATACTTGGCCCGCAACGGCCCCAAGCCAGCCACGTTCTGCTAGGGTGCAACCAAAGCCGACGCAGACCATCAGGCAGGTCTTGCCGAATGCGGGTGTTTGGGCAGTCTCCGGGAAGGGAACGCTTGGGAAGTGGAAGGCTGTCTTCTCACTGCGATCTTCACAACGGTGCTTGCCCGATTCAGCTAGTTCTGTCAGCTGCTCCACCCGGCAGGCAGATGAGGAGATCCCCAGTGAGGCTGGCTTGGCACGGAGTGCAGGGCATTGAGTCCGGCTGTAAGGCTGTAAGAGTTGCAGGTGTCTTGGTTGAGTCGGCAGCTGAAGGTAAATGCAAAGGCTTCTCAAATTATCGGTCGAGCAACATCGCACGGGTCGGCAAGCTTAATCCGGGATTACTATCTTTCACTGCTGACGTTTCCTCTCGAGTAGATTCCGTCCATTTGTTCTGCAGCTGTCAGCGTCTCTGGCCTTGCAAACTATCGATGACGCTTCTGGAGGTTGAGGCTGACGCTAATGCAGGGCCTTCAAATGGTATAGAACTCCAACAAAGCCGCCCCGCTATTTTTTGGGGGTCGATTGGAAAGAGGGTGCTGTTTGGGTCAGCGCGAGGTTGCAGACCTTCCGCGAGAGCGACTTTGTGCTAAACTCAGGCTTTCTGCCAATGTCTCTACTGTCAAATGTGGAGCTAGGATGTGGGTGCTCCTTCCGCCGCCAAATACGGTAGCTTGCAGCCATATCGTGCATGTTCTCACACTCGCGCCGTGACTTTGCAAGAAATGTCAGAATTCCTAGAGGTCTCTCGGTTTCCAGACAATCATGCCGGCCGCAGACTCAGCTTGAGCTGCAGAGTGCATGCAAAGGTATGCAATTCATATTGTTCAGGGTGATGCGGCTGGACCATCTTCGCCTAGGTTTGCTGCTTTATGACGTGGCGGCATTTGTCACGAATGAATGGTCGAAGTTTCTGTTGAGACCTACCCTCTCGCGAACAGGCTTCTAAAGAACTTTGGTGAATGTTTTTTAGCCCATTTGCGAGGAGGTCTCGCCTCAGAACGTTTGCAGGGTTGCGAGTGCGTGGTGTCGACTTGCACGACGTCCGCCTTGGCCATCGGTTGGTGCCACGCAGCCTTGCGAGTGCACAGTGTCTATACTTTCTTGCGATGTTCCTGTGTGCTTGTCACAGGAGGACTTGGGAGGTCGGAGGTTTGCCTCTGTGAGGCTGGGGGGTCATGGGAAGGGGGGGTCTGCAGGGAGGAGCGGCAGCGCACAAGGAGCAAGCTACGAATAGTCAAATCCCCAACGCAACATAAGGGACCGACATCGCTACTTCCGGAGGGTCAGCAGTATATAGCCACGGAACTACTGTTGATGATACAAATCCTGCATCAGTTTTCAAGACAACCCATTCCCCTTCCAACCCGTCATGTTAATATTGGCAAAGAGTCGCAGAATGTGCAGGTTCACCTGAAAAGCTGAAAACACGTTTGCGGCATGAGGCCCCACGAAGCATCCTCGATATTTCCTAAGATACGTGATGTTCGCGGCCGAGACTGCGAATGCAAAGGCACCGAAGACCCAAACGAATGTTGGCCGAGCCGAAAGGGAGTTCATTCTGCACTTGGTCCAGCTGAAAGCGAGCCGACGCTTCAAGGCCACCGCGGCGCTTGGCAGAAACACACCTGTCCGAGGCCGCGCAACTTGGGGTTTGGATGCGTCTTTGCAGTTTGAGAGAAGTTGCAAGAAGTTAGATGCTTGGCCATGCTTGACTTTGTGCTCAGAGGTCGCGCTGCCCGGAGCTCAGTTCGATCACGAATGGTGACAAAAAGTACTTCTGTATGGGTTCTGCAAATTCTTGCCCAGGTTATCAGAGATTTCGTTTAATTCTATTCTTATAGGAGATTGGGCAACTTACAATTACTCGAGAAATTATAGATTCAATAGTACCATATCATTGACTCTCCTACGCATTCAAGAACGCAGGCCTCGTGCACCGTGATGGGCACAAATATTGAAGTCATACCGGGGGAGTGTTTCCATGGATCAGCCATATATGATCCTTGATGATCTATAGATATTTGATTATTGAAAGGACCCCCCGAAATCTCCTTGTTGCAGGGCTTTCATTGTGCTTCCTAGGGGCGCAAGCTTGGCTGAAGTGTGTGGTGGTCTGGGGCAACGTCTTCATTCCACCGCTCCTTGGGGCGACTGCTAAGCTTCTGCCCTGTTATGGCACACAAGAAGGCGGCCAACGCATCCTCATGTACGAGGCCGCCGTCAGCACCTCGTGTGCCTCCACTTTAGGTGATGCAGTGGGACTGCCGCGGTTCTGGCTGGCGGTCGGAACAACCGCCGTGCTTACCCTGCTTGGCCCCGTCTTGTGGCTCTGCCTCGCAGCATCCGACCCCGCGAAGAAGCACGTGCGTGAGCGTGAGGAGACTGTTGCTTTCCTGGTGGCAGGCTACGAGCCAAAGTACCGCTGGTGGGAGGTCACCGTGTTGTTCCGGAAATCAGCCATCTACGTGGTTGCAACGTGGTTTCCCATGTCCTGGGCACCGGGAGCACACCTCGTCTACCTTGCCCTTATTGTAGCCACGGCCGAGCTCATCCACACGACATTTCAACCCTATCATAGCTCGCTGCTTGACCGTATCGAAAGCCAAGCGCTCTGCGCCGCTTTGATCGGCTTGCTGCTGGTTGCCTCACTATTTATCAAATGGCCGTTCATGCCGTACGCCATCTATCTAACCAGTTGCGGCATGTTGTGCGTGGTCACCGCCGGTGCTTACCTCCACTTTCTGTTCTGGGGTCGTTTCACGATCGTGGTTTTGAGGATGCAAATTTCAGGGTTTCGATGGATATCGATACCCCGGGATTGGCTTCGTGTCGAGACGAGTCCGAGTGCGATTGCTCCTTTTTTGGCCTTCAGGGTGGTGGAGGGTGTATTTCATTCGTCCAATGAAATGAGCAAGCGCCAAAACCTCCAGCCATTCAATTAAGTAAGGGGTGGACACGAATGCCCAAAACCCTGTAAAACGATGGGACCACTTGAAAAGCGACACCCCTAAGTTAATGAATCGTTGGGTGTGCTATAGCCGTGATTTTTCCTAAAGCGACACCTACAAACATCAAGCGTGGATAAATGATGCTAAAACCCTGTAAAACGATGGGAACACTTGAAAAGCGACACCCCTGATGTTGCGTCCATTAGCACCTCGAGCCAGTTTTGGCAGCCAACAAGGATGATGATGGTAGTGTTTTGTCTCACGTGTAAACGTGGTCGAGATTGTGTATGTTGTGGCAGGGGTTCATCTAGAATTCGAGCTGGAATATATGGATGATACTTTCAATGGGGAATTAATCTCATGTATTACGTTCTTTCGAGGAGGAAATTCGATTTATGATACGATCTGGAGCATTGCGCTTCAGGCTTTGATATTCAGGTGGTCACGGGTCTTGATAACTAGATTTCGAAAGCTCCGGTTGGAAATAATGAGATTTTCTTATGAGAATTTTACGAAGAGAAATGATACTTCTTCGAATATTAATTTCAAACTTTGGAGACGTATCTACATAAATATGAGGTTTTCCATTTGCTCCAATAATATATGGGAATCGGTTAGTTGAATTATTTGGCCCGCACTACTTCCCGGAGCTTTTTGTAATAGGCTTGCTTGCTAGCTTCGTCTGGCTGCTTGGGCTTGATGACCGATGCTCTTGAAATGAATGGAGAAATTTGCCATAAATCTGAGTTGGCTTTCTTGGTTGTGTGCCGTGCTATTCGGCCGGCAATTGACGCATTACTTCGCTCGGAGCCGGGATTTCGTGCCATTGGGATATGAAGTGGCTCGTGACGAATTAATAGCTCATCTCCAATAGTTCAGAAGGATATCTTGTCCTCGTTCTTTGAGGCGGCTCGACGCCATCTTGTATTTCAAATTTATTTGAGACTTCTGCTCGAATACCGCCAGGGACG